GGCCAGTCTTCCTCAGTAAAAAAAAAAAAACAGGAGGATTGGCAGATGTTAGCTCAGGGCTAGTCCTCCTCACACACACACACACACAAACCAACAACAGAACAACAAACAAACACATAGATACAGAGATTAGATTGGTGGTTACCAGAGGGGAATAGCGGAAGGAGGAGGACAAAAGGAGTAAAAGGGCACAGGTGTGTGGTGATGGATGGTAATTAGTCTTTTGGTGGTGAACATGATGTAGTGTACACAGAAATCGAAATATAGTGATGTACACTTGAAATTTATATAATGTTATAAACCAATGTTACCTCAATAAAATAAATAAATAAAAATCAATAAGAATTCTTTTGGCTACAAAACATACCACCAATATGGAGAAATACAATCATATCCTCCTCTAATAACCAATCCAATCAGGCAATTTATTTGACCCTATCTGCTTCTAGTGGGCAGTGGGGGCTATAGGTGTAGTCTGAGAGGGTATGACATAGACTACTAATTTTACCCAAATATATGTTTTCCCCTTATTTATTACTAATAGACCTCCCATTTTTTTAGCTGCACATGTGGATATATGGGTTATAGATTATATTTCTCAACCTCTGTTGTGACGGGGAGTAGTCTTGTAACTAAGTTATGAGATATGAGCACAAGTGCCATGGAATACTTTATGGAAGTAGTCTTAAAAAAACCGAAAGCACAGCCTTCCTTTTCTCCTATTTGCTGCTCTGAATGGAGATGTAATGGCTGGATATTAGGCAGCTATCTTGGACTAGGAGGTAAAGGCCATGTCTTGACAAGATGGAACAAAGACTGGGTCCCAGAGTGATTTCAGCTACTAGCCTTCTTTTTGAGAGAAAAATAAAATTCTATTTTGTGTAAGCCATTGTTGTTATGGGTTTTTTGACAATTTCAGGCTGAAATTATATAGAACATACTTACAAATAGAAATTATGTAGAACATAATTCTAGCTGATATAGTAAGCTTCTTTAATAAACTGATATTTAAGGTAAGAACCAAAGAATGAATAGAGAAAATTGTGAGGCTTATATGCATATCTTAGGAATCAAGGTTTTTTGAGAAAAAATAGGCAAAGCAAACAACTCAATATTCAAGAAAAATAATTTTTAAAAATAAAGAAAATAAAAGGAATGGATTATCAATATAAAAACATAAATTAACTAAATAGAATAAAAACCACAGAGACTTGACCAATTAAACATAAATATATTTCTTTGAAAATATCAAGGGTATTTTGAGTTAAATTGGTGGATTGGACATGCACCTTTAATTTGGCTCCCTCTAAAAATGCACTAACACAAAAGTGAAGAGATTATTTTCAGAAACATAACCTCAAAGGATGGAGAGAATAAAGTAGAAGACAACAGAGAAAAAGCTTAGTCGCTGGAAAGCAGAGGAATGACTTAGCAGACCTGACAAACCAACCTCCAGTCCTGAAGTGGGCAAAGCTGAGAACCAGCCCTGTTTAGACTGCAGGACTTTCAGAAGCATCAGAACTGTCAGCCCGAGATTCATCTGGCAATGACGGTAGGGTGCAAAATAAGGAGGATTGTGTTAAAACTTGCTGAGAAGCAGTTAAATCTGTAGCAGTCAGGTCACTTGTCCCCACTCCAGTCACTGAGTAACATACTTCCCTGACCCTAGCATAAGTCTGGAGCTTTGTTTTCTGATGACTGCAAAAAAGCACGTTATTATATTAGAGGTTCCACTGGCAAAATTGAGGCCAGGGGTAATATGGGTAGTAGAAATAAGTGACCGTCTAAATAAATGACCAGAAGAGAAAATAAGTTATTGCATCCAAGAAATAAGTACAAAAAGAGGGCTCTTGGAAAACACAAACATAAAAAAGAAATGAAAATCTAAATAGAAGGGCCTGAAGATAAAGTTAAGAAAATATCCCAAGAAATACTGCAAAAATATTTTTAAATGGCAAACAGGAGAGAAAAAAATAAGGAAATTAGAGACCATACCAGAGGTCCAACATCTGAATTTTAGGAATTACAAAAAAAGAGAGCAGAAAAAAAATAACCAATAAAGTAATTCAAGAAAATTTCTAAGAGCTGGAGGAAATTAGTGTCCTAGTTGAAAGAGCTTACCAATTGTCCTGTACAGTGGATTAAAATAAGCTCAAACCAAGACACATCAGTGTTTGATTTTAAAATGCTTGGGACAATGACAAAATACTACAACAAGAAATAGAAATACAGATCACATATAGAAGATATAGAATAAGATGCACTTTAGACTTAACAAACACATTGGGTTTAGGAAGCTCATTGACAAAATATTTAAAAATTCTGAAGAAAAATTATTTCCAACCCAAAACTCTATAATCAGTCAAACTTCCAATCAAGTTTGAGGGCAGAATAAAGAAATTTAATAGACTCAAGGTCACAACAAAATTTAACTGTCATATACCCTTCTCTGGCTACTACTGGAAGATATCTATCAAATGAGAGAGTAATCTAAGAGAGAGGAAGTCAGAAGAAACAAAAAAGAGGAAATCCAAAACAGAACAGAAGTAAAATGAATCTCCAGGTGAGGTTGAAGGATGATCCCAGGATGACAACTGTGTCCTAAATACAGTGATCAACTATCCAGGCTGGAACTGTATGACTCAAGAGACAGGCATTTTGAAGGATATCATCAGCAAGTCCCCTGACATCTTTTCAATCAGATGAAACTATAGGAGGATGTGATCTATTAAAGCCATAGAGTAAACCAAAGAGAGGAAAAAATAAAATCCTAGAAATAGGAAATCCAACCAGAATAAAGGCAAAAAGAATTCCAAGAATGACAGGAAATGAGAGTCCCAGGATGATAGCTGTGCAGCAGATGTAGAGAGCAACCACCCAATTTAAAGGAAAATTGATATCGCAGGAGATATGGGAATGACCATGTGGAAAACTGTAAGAGGCAATTAGAAGTGTGGGAAGAACAAGTGAAGGACATAAAGAAAATCAAGTAAATGAAAAAGCAAGGCAATTATTAACTTCAAAGAAAAAAGAGAGAAAGAAAATATAATTAGCACACAACAAGGCTCCCAATGATACTGCAAGTGAAAGACGACAGGAAAGGGCTCTGGAAGAGAACAGGAGCTAAAACCTAATGCAGCATAATAAGGAGTCAACTGATAATGTCTAAAATTAATTAACCAAAATACAGCAGAATACAGATTAACGGCAGAAGAGATAACTAAAAGAGTTAAAAATGGCTGCTTATTGGGAGGGGGACTAGGAAAGTGAGGAGGGAAAGGGCATAAAACTTGTATTTTATTATAAGCCTCTTAGTACTATTTGATTTTGAACCAAGGTCATATGTTATTTTGAAAAAAATGCATTTTAAAAGATCAGTAAGATAGAAATCTTGTAAGTCTCCCCAAGAATAAAAAGGAGATAAAATACTAAACATTACTCATAAGAATAGGGATATAACTAAAGATAAATAATACAATGAAAACATAATACCAAGAAATTTACAAATCCAGATAATGAATGGTTTTTAAAATAAAGTACAAATTACTTTAAAAGGAAACAACATCTGGACAGATTAATAACCAAAAGTAAAATCAAAAAGATAGTTATAGGGCCGGCCCCGTGGCTTGGTGGTTAAGTGCGCGCGCTCCGATGCTGGTGGCCCGGGTTTGGATCCCGGGCGCGCACCGAGGCACCACTTCTCCGTCCATCCTGAGGCCGAGTCCCACATACAGCAACTAGAAGGATGTGCAGCTATGACATACAACTATCTACTGGGGCTTTGGGGGGAAAAAATAAATAAATAAAATCTTAAAAAAAAAAAAAAAGATAGTTATAGATTTGCCACCAAACCCAACCCAATTTAAAAAGCAAGTGGTAATTAAGCATGTAGAAACAGATGATAATACAATTATAAAAACTATTCTGTTGCATGATAATAGGTGGAAAGCTTCCTAATCCATTCTATGAGGCCAGGATAGTTTAATACCAAAACCATATAAATTAAACACACACACAGCAACACAGGCCAGAAAAATCCTAAAACGACATCAGCACATCAAATCCATCTGTGCATTAAAACAATAATATGTCATGGTTAAATGTCATTTATATCAAGAAATCGAGAATTAAAAAGCTAAAGAATAAAACTACAATTTCAACAGATGTCAAAAATTACTTTAAAAATACGAAAGAATAAAGAAAAGAAGAAAACTTTCTTGATCCAAAAAAGGAGCATTTACCGCAAGTTTAGGTCAAGTATCATAAAGATGAAATACTAGCAGCACTTCCACAAAGGCAAGAATGACCTACTTGCTACTACTAATTTTAAGAGTATTCATTGCATACTCTTGGAGACGCTAGCCATTGAAATTATAGGTGAACACTAATTTATACATAATACTTAAATCAGGTGAAGGGTGGAGGTTTGGGGGGGTCAGAAAGTGTTCCAGAAAATATGGGTAAAGAGCGAAGACCGTGACACTGGAAGGATCACTATTTAACTCACAAGAAACTGAGAAAAGGCGAGTTACTCTGCAGTATGAACAGCATCATTGTTAAGCGGTCTACAAATCAATAAAAGGTCCTCAACCAATATTTGTTGATTTTTTGACGGAGACTCCATTTTCTTATATATTCTTTACTATCTATTTTAAAACCCAGAGGTTTTCTTAGAATTTACTTCTGGTAGGGAGCCAGAGCTTAATTTCATGCCCCTAGATTAAGGAGAACAGATATATTTTTCTACGAATTCAGACTACCAGAGTGGAAAAAGTAGGCACTTACTTACTAGTGTTGCTGTGACTGTGACCGTTTGAGGAAAAAGATGGAATGAAACAGGAAAGACATTTGGGGGAAAAAAATCCCTCCTGATGCAGTTCCTTTAATCCGCCATCTTTTTGTTCTCTCCTTGAAAACGGGAATAACATCCACAAAACGCAAGGTGGCGCTGCTGACTAAAAAGAGAAAAAAATATTCGCACAAACGATGTTGCAGATTCCAGTGTTAAGGGGAAAGCTGGCCAGACCAGAAAAGTAGGGGAAAGGAAGCCGTGGTAAAAGGAGTTGGGGAAAAGTGGGGATCCCTCCCCACAAGCATTGCTATTATCCAGCTGATTTCTAAGGACTGGGTTGCTGTCATTTCTGAGAGCTTCTTGAGGCCGAGTAAAAGTGTTTTTGAAAGACCGATTAAAGGAAGAATGGAGGCCAGAGTGGAGCGTGCTGTGCAGAAAAGGCAAGTCCTTTTTCTTTGTGTATTTCTGGGAGTGTCTTGGGCTGGCGCGGAACCGCTGCGGTATTTTGTGGCGGAGGAAACCGAGAGAGGCACCTTTCTGGCCAACCTAGCAAATGACCTGGGGTTGGGGGTGGGGGAACTGTCAGCCCGGGGATCTAGAATCGGTTCAGATCAGCACACACGATTTTTACTACTCAATCCGCTTACTGGTGACTTACTTCTAAATGAGAAATTAGACCGAGAGGAACTGTGCGGCCCCACAGAGCCCTGTGTGCTGCCTTTCCAGTTGTTACTGGAAAAGCCTTTTCAGATTTTCCGTGCTGAACTGTGGGTCAGAGACATCAACGATCACTCTCCGGTATTTCTAGATAGAGAGATTCTCTTGAAAATATTAGAAAGTACCACTCCAGGGGCGGCATTTCTCCTGGAAAGTGCACAGGATACAGATGTTGGAACCAACAACCTGAGAAACTACACCATCAGCCCCAATACCTATTTCCATATTAATGTCCGTGATGATGGGGAGGGGAATATCTATCCCGAATTGGTACTGGATCGAGTGCTGGACCGCGAAGAGGTGCCTGAGCTCAGTTTAACCCTCACGGCCTTGGATGGCGGCTCTCCGCCCAGATCCGGGACCGCCCTCGTACGAATCCTGGTTTTGGACATAAACGACAACGTCCCTGAATTTGTACAGTCGCTCTACAAGGTGCAGGTGCCCGAGAACAGCCCTGTTGGCTCCCTGGTTGTCGCCGTGTCAGCTAGAGATTTAGATACCGGAAGTAACGGGGAAATAAATTATGCATTTTTTTATGCCACTGAAAGAATCCTCCAAACGTTTCAAATCAATTCAACATCTGGCAATCTTCACCTGAAAGCTGAACTGAACTATGAGGCAGTGCAAACTTATACATTAACTATTCAGGCCCAAGATGGCGGAGGGCTTTCTGGAAAATGTACTGTGGTGGTTCACGTAACAGATATAAATGATAATCCACCGGAACTGCTCATGTCATCACTTACCAGCCCAATTGCAGAAAATTCACCCGAGACAGTAGTAGCTGTTTTTAGGATTAGAGACAGAGATTCAGGAAACAATGCAAAAATGGTGTGCTCCATTCAAGATGATCTCCCCTTTGTCCTGAAGCCATCCGTAGAGAATTACTACACACTGGTAACAGAGAGCCCGCTGGACAGAGAGAGCAGAGCCGAGTACAATATCACCATCACCGTCACTGACATGGGATCCCCCAGACTGAAAACGCAGCACAGCATAACCCTGCTGGTCTCCGACGTCAATGACAACGCCCCCGCCTTCACCCAAACCTCCTACACCCTGCGGGTCCGCGAGAACAACAGCCCCGCCCTGCACATC